TTAACGCCGGAGAGATTTAGGTTGTCGTCATTATCAGTAATCTTGAACCAGGTGGGAAAATGACATTGAGGAGATCATCATCTCAACTCTGCTGCTCAGGCTCTGCTATGACATGAAGTCATCCCAGTTAGACTGTCATGAGTAGTGAGCAGCGATCCACAGCTGCCATACCTCCGTCAACTAACTGTAGAGTGAGATAGAGAGAGAGGGAGGGAAAGAAAGACAGCCAGCCTTCGAATAGATTCAGAGCTGTCAATCAAGGCGAGAAAGGAACAACGGGAGGAAAGGTACAAGGTGGGGGGGTGGAAGCAATTCCAGGGAGACAGACAAAGAGAAGTCAGGAAAGAGAAGTGAGCAGGAGGATTGAACAATGCAAAGAGAGTCCTGAAGGGACCACTTCAGAGGACTGAATGTTTTGTTTCTGCATACAGCCATTTCAAATGTGGGTTATTCCCCCACTGGGGAGACTAATTGCTTGTTGATATAATATTACAGCCTTCATCTCCCTGAAAACCAACACATCTGATGAGTTATGGCTCTGCGTGCTACATGTTTTCTTTTTCTTCTCGTCCTTCTTCTTCTTCTTCCTCTCCTTCTTCACCTTGTTCCATCCCCCTTCTGCGGCACAGGAACTCCTGACCTCCTGCAATCTAAATATTCACAAATCAGGAAGAAAGATTTTGGGCTCAGTTCCAATATCAATAAAGCATAACGATACATTCTAGGGGCTGCCTGCTCTTCGAATGAGACATTTGCGGTTTTGTGAGTTATTGACATAATAGTTCAAATCACTTTATCATTCTGACTTTCTCTTTTTGCCCATATCTATTCCTCCTTCTGGTTTTGTGACTAGTAGGGAGCTAATTGATGAGTTTAATGGTAACATTCATGCACATACGATTTGTCAATTACAGGGAGAAGACAGAGGAAAAACAGCAAGTACGCCCGAGGCACAGGTTTTCAGGCACCAGAGCAAAAAAAAAACAAAACCCAAAAAACATTATGGTGCAAAGGAATGAGGCAGTTTACCTGAAGAGATCCTATGGATTGAAATGTTACATTTGCATAATTGTTTTTTTTATGCTTTTGTGTTTTGCTTGTGCTTTCTTTTTTTGTCTGTTTTAAGGATTAAGTCATTGCTGAGAGCAAATAGTGCGCAAACCTTTCCTCAATTAAGGAAGAAAACCAGAGCGGGGGTTCTAATCTAGACAGATATTAATCTTATGTTGTGTCTAAAGTGTTTGCTTGCGTCTTTGCGGGGCTGCTTTGTTTCTGCCAGGTTGTCACTTATCTCACCTCCTGTAATGCTGATTGTAGCGTCTTCGGTTTTCCCAAGGAGAGGTATTAAATTATCTCAGGTTCTGTCAAACATGTTTTAGTCCAGTGGCGGAAAATGCGGGTGCGCCATCTCATTTAATCGGGTCAGCTGTAGTCATAGTACGTGATATCACTGATGCCAGTATGGGAGCGTTTTCATAGGATTATGGAGTGTGTGCATTTACATGAGTTGTGTACAGGAATCTAAGAGTGTGTGTGTATTCTTTTGCTCATAGGTTTGCTTAGAGACTCATTTGTAGCACCGCTATCTCAGACTGCTGAATCAGCACGGGCTCTCCTGCTTTTCTCCTCACTTTTTCCCATTTATGAGTGTCTAGCCCAGCTACTGTCTGTCTGTAAACACACAACCCGAGGGCAGAATCCAATGCACATATTCTCCTCACACCCCATTAAACACACGCTGAACAACCTATTGTGATCCCTTTTCAGAAGAGCCGAGCAATGCATTTGAAGCTTTTCGCTTGCTTTTGTGAGACGCCATCTGCATGCGTGCGGTGCTCTGCTCCCCCGATGTTTGAATTTTATGTGGCAAAGATGATGAGACATAAGATCCCTTCCCTTCTCCTGCTAAAAATGAATTTTTGATCTGTGTTTTATCGTCTTGTAATCTCTGATATTGTTGGTGGTTATTGCTTTATAAAATGGGTCTGCAGCTGGTATGTGCTCCCACATATGGCCAGGGAGAGTTTTATAGAGTCTCTATGTTCTTGTATTAGAAGAAGCTTGATCTCATCACACATGGAGTCAGTGTTACAAGTCAAGAGAGTTTGCAAACTATCAGTCCCACACTAAAAAAAGAGCCCCCCTACACACCCGTAGGAACATTATTACCTATATGCAGTAACATTTTCACAACCCTTGCACATCTGCTGTATCAAGACAGGTCTTAAACATCCACGACATAGCAATAGCAATATGTTCTTCTTCTATTTGGACTTGGTGCAGTTTGATCATGTATGTTTGATAAATATTGGTGCTCTGACTGTGTGTGGAAATTGCTGTGTGACTAGACATAAGGTCAGTCAGTTAGCCCACAGTGTGTCCGTCAGCCCAGCCAAAGGACATGTAAGAACCGCGGCTCGCTGGGAATCGCCTTCAGTTGTGTGCGTGTGTGTGTGTGTATATAAATCATCTCTCTTTTTAACCTGATTTGCTTCTCATTCTTTCTTTCGCTATCCCTTCCCAACAGCTTATAAGAGGGGCTGGCCAAATCCTAGTCTATAAATGTCAGAAAATAGGATCTATAAAATGTCCAGCATTTTTAATTTTTTAAGCATAATATTTTTAATTGTGTCTCAAAGACCTGTTTAATTAGGAGTGGAGGTTTCCCTTTCATGCAGTGCTATATTTTCTACTGTTTGACCTGGCAGTGAGGGAGAATGGGCCCAACACCTTGCCATTGTGGCGATCGTGGCTCAAGAGTTGGGAGTGGCTCAAGGTTGCCGGTTCGAGCCCCAGCTTGGACAGTCTCGGTCGTTGTGTCCTTGGGCAAGACACTTCACCCGTTGTCTACTGGTGGTGGTCAGAGGGCCTGGCAGCGCCAGTGTCCAGCAGCCTCGCCTCTGTCAGTGCGCCCCAGTGTGAATGTGTGTGTGAATGTGTGGATGACTGGTTGTGTAAAGCGCTTTGGGGTCCTTAGGGACTAGTAAAGCGCTATACAAATACAGGCCATTTACCATTGTTAGTTTAAATAGCTCTCCGTTTGGCAACGTGTTCATATTAGAATTGAAGGCTCTTAGTCAGATTAAACTAAACTATTTTGTTGATGGACTGATTTAAGCAGTCTCTATTAATATTTGAAATACTTAGCCAAACCACTGGCCCGTCATTTTGATAAACTCTGTCATTGTTTTTCTTGATAAGCATCTTAGTGCTGGGTAGGTAGGTGTTTCACTTTGTGAGCAAAATGAATAAAATGACTGTTTTTATCTGTCTATCGCTCAGGGAAATAGACACAGCCTTGCCCCATTAAATGTATAACTTATTCCCCTTTTGGCATGCAGCAGTGCCAGAGCATCCTCCCTCATCAGTAAGCCTGCTAAGACATAGGACATTGATCATAGTTATTTTACTCAGTAAGCCCCTCCACATCGCACAGAAACTCTTTGTATTCTTTTGGGATATTGGGGTGAGTGGATTAGGTTATTGCCTGCACTTAAGCACAATGCTATCAGCTACAATAATCTTCATACTCCACCGTGGCCTTTAGAATTTGGGACTTTAACACGTCACACCAACATCCACAAACTAGTGCTTGCAAGACTGTTTTAGAAATCCTCGTTCTTCTTATCAGTAAGGCCAGTATGACTCTCGCAGCCTGTCTGAGATTGTGGTCATGCTGCAGAATAAGTTTTAAATGATCAGAGCCTGATCGCTCTGGTACCAAGCGATGAATAAAACATTTAAAGTGCCCGAAACTTTTGCACACTGCTGTGCACGAGGAAAACGTAAATGAGTAAAAATTCAGTACTGCGCTTAAATATGTCTGCATACAGTAAGGGGTCAAATTTACTAAGCAAAGCAAATGAAAACACAATGCAAAAATGTGCCAGTGGGTGTGGAGGCTTCTGCTAACAATGCCCTAATTTAGAAACAAAGACGCAGCCGGCTCATTTTAATATTGAACAAAAGCGTCTACCAACAGAAGAACAAACCAGCAGGTCAAAAGCAAACAGACCCAAAGAGGGAGCGAGTAATGCACTAACCAAAGTAATATGAGCTAAGCACAGGTTTCAAGCATGGTCCTCTGTCTGGATATAGTATAGTATTCCAGCTCTATAGGTAGCATCGAATGTGGATCCAAATGTTTTTGATGTAAGGGCAAACTCTGTTTCCATTAGATATTCCTGGGGACTTTGTGCTGTCTTGTAGGCTGAGGTGGCCATTCACTGGATAAATCTGACAGCTCAGGTGGAGTGTGGGATTTATCTGGAGGAGGGATTACAAACTGTTCAGCTATACTACCTGAAATCGCTGTGTCACACCTGTAGAATTTGTAGACGAACACAAATCATTATTTACCGCAAGCTCTTCACCAAGCCTTTGTGTGCCTACAGATCTTAAGATTCAGACGTTAAAACACTTTTCGGCTTTTGTGCACTCCTGCTGTTTTTCAGAAACCTGAAACCCATCGGTCACTGTTAAAAGAAAAAAAATTAAATAAATACTTTGGGTGGCTGTAATCCAAGACACATCTGTTTAGGTATTGGGGTTTTCCCTCTCTCTATCACACTGAGTTCAGAGAGTTCGGTTAAGTTAAGTTGTGTTTAATCAATATGCCTGTATTATAGATATGCAGAGCTCGCCGCTAAACATTCAGGGCGAGGACTCAGTGGAGAAGTACAGGATACAGCCAAAGCTGCAGCACCGTGTTCACATCCTTGAGCCATCCATCCATGCCAATTACCTCTATTTCTGATAACATCTTCCACTGCTGTCCCACATAAATTAACCCTCCTAGCACCAGCGATGACAGCCACATTAGGAGCAAAATAAGACATGCGTTAAATATAGCGGAGTTTGGGAGGGGGTAAGAGTAACTTGCAGAAAGGCAATTGACAAAAATCACTTAAAAATAGCTTAACCTTGTGCTTGCCTTAATTGGATTCATGCTTTTTTTGTTGTATTTTACAGTTCTAACAGTGTTTTTTTTCTTGTCACAGCATGTCCACCGGGTACCTTCAAGTCGACCCAAGGTCCAAGTCTTTGTCTACAGTGCCCTCCTAACAGCCGCTCCACATCTGAGGCTGCCACCATCTGCGTGTGCCGCAACGGCTACTACCGTGGGGATGGTGATCAGCCAGATAAACCTTGCACCAGTAAGTATCCAATAAATTAGATTGGCTGCGCACTAAGGCACTAATACATATTAAAAGCCACATATAAACAAAATGTCAGAAATGGCACTTTCTGGCATTTTCTGAGACAAACTGAAAAGGATCCAGTGGTCTATCACGGCTATCACAGGGTGAGACGCGGGGTTATCTATTTTAATTTAAATGCATATGAATGTGCATTTATCCAGCACCCATCTTGTCTTCTTATTGTCTTCTTCTTAGGATTGATGGAGCTCCTTGTGTTTCCTCTCAGCTATCTCTCTCACTCTCCACATCCTTTCTCACTTCTCTCGTTTTTGCTGTTGTTCTTTCTCCGTGTCTAGTATCATCCCCTGAAGTCCTAATTACTCAGGCAAATGCTGTGAAACTTCGACACTGTCCTGCCGTTATCCGCTGGAGATCCAATAAGGCCTCTCACAGCATCATAGTTATCTTAATATGATGTAAAAGCAATATGCTAAGCCTTCCTGTTATCCCTGCTGACACACAGTTATGCAGAGGGAGAGCATTGTTAGACCCCAAAAAGTTTGTTTACCTCACTTCCTTCACTGTCACTGGGGAGTGTCTTAATGGTTTGTTCTCTTCACAACATCAGGCTGGAAGCATTATTGGTGTGGTTATGTGTTCATTTAGCCCACATTTATTCACATAGACCTGATTAATTGGCCCAAATGGACTCAAAAGCACATAGAACTTTCCTAATCAGGTAGCAGCTGTATAGCTTTTGCTTCTAAACTCTGAGTTCATTGTTCTTATTTAGCAATGTATTCTTTTGTGAAAAAAATAAATGAGTAAACAAATAAATAAATGAATAAAAGGGGCTAAAAGGTGCAGTGAATGCCCAGCGGAGCATGGCTGTCTGTCTCTGAACGATTTGGCTATGTGAAAGGTGTGCACAGCAGCGCTTAATCCACCGAGGAAGACGTTACACGTAGGGAGAGTGCCGTTTGGTGAAAAAGTGGACCTGAACAGGTATGAGGGCAACAGCATTGTTCACCACAAAGATGATGGCGTCACTAGGTTTCATTTCAGCTCTTGGTCACAACTTCTATCTTTTCTGCGGCAACAATAGCACAAACAGGACTAGCGCACAGACTGGTTGTACCACATGTTCTTGACGTGAAAGTAAATGGCTACAACATGTAGACATGTAACATGGCTGCAAAGCAGTGCTTAGCTCTGCATAGGACAAACGCAGAGCTGTGCTGGTACCGTTTAGGCTTTAGATGTTCTCAGTCTCTCCAATAGTTTCCGGCACTGCCTGACGAATTAGCAAGTGTTCCATCAGCTAAAGCCTCAGCCTTTATTTTGTGGCCTTGCATTTTCCCCCAAGCAATCTCAGCTCAACAGCAGCTCCATCTTAGACATCTTAAATAGATCCGTATGCTCTGTGTTCCATTTCAAAATGTAACTGGCTCCTTTTTTTTTCTGTTTTCAATCTCGTCTTATCTGCTCTGTCAGTTCTGTTATTTTTCCCTTTGCCCTACTCTTCTCCTTCATTTTGTGCTCGGTCCTCTCTATAACTCTGTAACAGGAGTCCAGTTACATTGCTGTTTGTATTCAGACAAAAAAATGAAACTGCTTACTAATACACTCACACTTAAGTAAAACATACCAAAAGGCTGTATGCTAAATCTGTTGGAAATGGTCCCTTTTAGCAATATCATATTGATAATATTAAGCAAATGTTAGCAGCTTTTCAATTTGTATTAAAATAATTTGTCTGCAAATCTGTCTGCACAAAGCTTTTTCTGAAGGCTGAAGCATACAGTAGCAGCTAGGCGTGATGCTCTAGTTGTCATAGATCTCAGCCAGGGGGGCTAGTGAGATGATCCTAGTAGCAATCTCTTTAATACTACAGGTCTTGATAAGAGCACTGCTAGAGTAGCTTAAATCAGACCAGCCTGTAGCTTGATGCTGTAGCTTAAGCACTTCTTGCCGTCATCAGGCACGTAGGGGCTCTATGCTCCTGATCAGTCTGATTAGCTCGCTGATGGATTGTCTGTTGCATGGCTCTGTGAGCTGAAGGCCGCATGCTAACCACCCCACCCCCCACAACCTTTTTTTTCCCGTTGGGGGTATGAATATGCCAAGGCAGAGATGCACTTTTAAATACCAGCTCCTCAGATTTCCTTTATCTAAGACATTTTTTTCTGACTTCAGTCTATGCCTGAGGAGAGGAATCAGCTACATCCCTGTTAATACGTTTTTGTTTGAAGACATGCGAGTTTTACCTTTGTGCCGGTGTCCATTCTGCTCTGGGTGGAACAAGATTTTTGAAACGCTCAACCAGCTTTAGTTTGAAAACCCAGGGATTGTGTTTTAGTCTGGAGAAGGAAATATAGAGACTTTTTTTTTTAAACGCACATATCCTTGTTGATTGGGTTTTATCTGCCACAAAAATTAAGCTAGAACATTTAAGCTTACTCTCATTCCTTTTTGATTTCAACCTTTTTGTCTCGGTAGTCATTCCATTGGTGATGCTTTGGTACCTCTCTGTGTATTTTCAAGTATTGGTTCCATCTCAGCCTAAGCAAAGAAATCTCTGCTCATATGTTTTCTCATCATCTTTCTCCGTAACATTTTTGTGACCAACCCTCTGTTTCCTGTTGCTCCTCAGTGCATACACTGCCAGAGTCTGCGTTTGGTCGATGCGATGTGCATTTATAGGTTTGTTAATGAAAATGTTCCTTCCTATCTGAATTTTCATTTTAAAGCAGTTTTAACAGTTTTTAAAATGAAAACATATTCAAATATTTTGAAGAGAAATGTTGATAAAGCTTCAAAGATTGTGTGTGAAACCTTTTCATTCTGATTCGGACTTTTTTAGTGAGTGTTTTATGTTCACTCTGATCCCCAAGCTCAAGGCCCCAGTTTGACATTCCCCAACTACCCCACAGATGTGCGTGTGTGTAAAAAAATAAATAATGAAAATAAATAAATAATGTTTTCATGTTAGGATGGTTCAGTGGAGAGAGGTCGGTGTGACCCAGCATGCTGGGACAATGGGTGTCTCAGTATGTGGAGTCAAAAGAATGACAAGCTGAGTGGTAACTGACGGGAGTCGAGCAGTGAAACCAGTTCTAATTGGTCCGGGGGGGCAGGGGAAAAGGTGATGGTGCATGAGGTCCGGGTGGACTTGTGTCAAAGAAAGAAAAAACAAATCCCATCAACACACCAGGAGGTACTCCGTGTGACAAAGCAAGATTTGAATATGCATTTTTTAATGTATAGTCTATGCTGAAAAATGAAAGCAACCCTGCCAAATTCTAAATATGTTATTATGTTTATACATTTAAAAAAAAAAAGCTGTATATGCAGCTGTAACTGGTTCATGGGGAACATCTTTGGATGGTAATTGAATCAGCATAGATATGGGAACTGACAAGGAAAGCAGTATGGTTCTGATGAATTTCAGTATGCGTAATCTGTAACATATTGGTTCTGAGTGTTATGGCTCTCACTCAATACTCATATCTGTGGCCTGTCCCCTGAAAACTTCCTGGAGTCCTATCTAATGTCGTCTGTGCTTTTGTAATCCAAACAAAACCCATAAAAATTTCTAACTGAAATGGTTTATCTGTTTTTTTTTTCTTCATTTTCCTCATCATCCCATTTAGCTGTTTTCCTCTGATTTTATAGTCAATTCAAAGGGAAAAGAGAGGAAGCTGTCAAAGTGAATAAATCTCTGCTCTTTTCTCACAAGCCTTTTTTTTCTTAATCCACTTCTGGAGTCAGTTAAGGGTGCTTCCCACAGCTCAGCCATCAGCTGGCCAGTTTCCTCTCTCAGTGACTGGTAATAAATGGAGCTAAGTCAAGGTAATTGTCTAGCCTGCTCTAATTACTGTACTGACTTTGAAGACATAATGCTCTAGACTATCAGGCACAAGCATCCACTTATATTCAAAACTTTCCTAAGTCTCGTTGACACATCTAAAGTATCGCACACACAGAGTCAAGAAAGGTTCAAAGCTACTGTCGAGTGTTATGGATGTGTAGATTGTACTTTTATCAGTTTCATTTTCCAGTTCTTCCTCACTCATCACTGTGAATACACCCAAATCTCACAAGCAGCACTGCTAACACGAACACACTCCGACTCTGACTGCTTTAGTCTCTTACAGAGTCACTATTAATCCTTATAACATGTTGTTTTTTTCATCTCTCACCAGCCCACACAGCCCCTCTTTCTTTCTCCCAGCTCCTCTGGCTGTGATCACTATCTCCACACAGGGACCTTCTGTTGGCCCCCCAAGGCCTTTTTCACATCATAAAAACAAACAGTTTGAAAGAAGAGAAGCACTAGCCTCAGACCATTCAAAAGGTGGATGAGTACACAATATCTGGACGTTTTTATTTTGGGCACTGGGGCTCTCTTTATATCAGTAGCCAAGGAAGGAAACTGGGCCGTAGTGTTTTACAGTCCAGGTGGTATTTTAAAGCCCCCTTAGTAACAGGGCGCTATGCATATCAGCCTGTGAGTGTGAGGAACACATGAGGGGAGTAACACAGTAGGACTTTTGACATAATACTCATAACAATATTGATCAGACTTTCATTTTGTCTACTAACTCAGGGGTGTTTTTTTGCTGCCGTGCATTTCTGCCTCGCTGCGTCTCTTCTTTCTAGGAAGCCATGTTCAGCTTGCGTGCCCCTGTCGATTTATTTAGCCGTATCATAAAGAGTCATTTTGATTTCCACATCTGCTTAAAGGGTATGACATAAATACTGTGGCTGGCTGCACCAGTCTTATTCGCACAGACACTTTTGCGCATATTGCACTTGCCCATATTGTAGAAAAGCACATGTGTAATCATGTATCATTGCTGTTCCTATGCTAATGGCCTGCTTTTTGTGTTGCTGTGTGCACTGTCTTTACTTTGCAGAGTGGTGCAAAAAAGAAAAAAAAATGTGGGCGTTCTTTTTGGAGGGGGATTGGAGAAATTATCTATTTCTGTAGTAGCAGTATGTATGTAAACACAACCAAATTATGTTGTGTGTGATGTAACTGAAGGAATGTCTGCCAAGAGCTACAAGTAAAACTGCCACCAAATTACTGCCTGTGGCAAATTAAAACAGCCAAGGTACAGGTCATCATACAGGTGGAAGTCCTGTGTGATTGCTTACAGCATCCCTGCATATGTAGAGTATTGTTGCAACTGGGACGTTAGACATATAATTCACACCATAGTCTGTCTGTGGGTTTGGGCATGCATTTTCCACATGAACAGATCTGCTTATGTTTTTTCCCATCAAGTGCATTTATGTGACAGATGACATAAAATGTATGCTGCGTGAGTAACATGAAGTGCAGTCCATAGTCCCTAACAGCGAAACTGCCTCCAGTCCCCTCAAGCAACCCTATGACATATTTTACACATTTTCATATGAATTTGCTGGTTTCTATGTGCCTTTTGCCCATGTTGTCTGGAGCGTTAGCGGCCCTCTCATCCAGACCATAATAATCACGCTGTGTGGTTACACCCTTTGTCTCTCTGACCTCTCTGCTTTTGAGATCCTGAGACGAGGTTGCAGAAGTAACACAGCCATTCCCACTCTTGTGTGTTCTGTCATTTTTTACTTAGCTTACCGAGTATGTGTGTGTGGCTTTGCAGCAAAAATTAATTGTGTCTTTGTAGACTGAGGTAACTATTTTCCTCATTTCCATGAACATGTGCTGTATAAAATTCTTATTGTTGTAGGTCCTCGTGGTCAAAAGCTAAAATAAAGTAAAAAGAGGAAGAAGGCGAGTCGAGTAATTCCTCAAAAGGTTTTCTAGAATTGAGTTGATTTTCGGTTCACTGTAGTCATGGGTCTAGAAATGGGTCAGTTTAATTTCTCTTATAATGATAAAGGTCAGGCTTTATGCAAGATAAATTGCTACCAGATCAGCTCTGCAGGGCTGCCTCACTTAACCTAAGGAGCACCGAGTAAGGGTTTTGGAAAGCTTTGTCTGGTATCTGGGAGGGCTGCTTCTGAGCAGTCGAAGGGTCTCTCAGCTAAGAGTAATTCTCCACTGGCATTTAAACAGATTTTAACTCTTTAAGAATTGTGCTGCAATTGCAGAAGGCCAAACAAGGCACTTTTCTGCACCCTGATATTAAGCCACCACTCAAGCAAAACAATAGTTTCATTATTTCTTGATTTCTTTCTGAATATCGTTTTTGAAGTTCCGCTCCAGCTGCGGGCTATGAGGGAGTGAATGGGAGCGTGAATCTCCAGAGCCACTTGGATAAGAATACTCCATGCAACACTGCATTTTGCTAAATAACCAATGTTTGATAGACACAAACGTTTCGCTGTATGATCTCTCTGGGTGTGAATGGAATAAATTAGCATTCCAAATTGTGCTCGAGATGAAGAAAAATAAGAAAAAGACAAGTTGCTCTCAAAACCAGCATTTGTATTTATTAGACTGTTGTAAAATGACAAAAGTAAAAGGAGAGAAATGTATGAAACTATTTTGTTTTCCTCTTTATAAGCAATGTGTTAATTTTCTTTCAGCCTGATGACATCTTTTACACAGATACCCTCAAGTTTATCTTTCATAATTTTTATATCTACAGGCGTGCCATCCAGCCCGAGAAATGTGATCTCCATCGTCAATGAAACCTCGGTGATCCTGGAGTGGCATGCCCCCAGGGAGACGGGTGGTCGTGATGATGTCGTCTACAACATAGTGTGCAAGAAGTGCCAGGCCAACCGGCGTTCCTGTTCCCACTGTGATGACAACGTCGAGTTTGTTCCAAGACAGCTGGGCCTGACCGAGACCAGGGTGTTCATCAGCAACTTATTGGCTCATACTGTCTACAGCTTCGAGATACAGGCCGTCAATGGTGTCAGCAATAAGAGTCCATACCCTGCGCAGCATGTTTCCATAGATATCACCACCAACCAGGCTGGTAAGTACCTTTACTTCCATGACCATTCAAAAAGCTGTCCATATCAATGTTGTTTTTCATTTTAGCTGTTTACTTTTGGTAAGTGTTCTGTTACAGTACAGTCCAGAAAGAGCTTTAGTGAAGGTTACAAATGACGTGCTTGTCCTGATCTCAGTGCAGCGTTCGATACTGTTGACTATAATATTTTATTACAGCGATTAGAGCATGTTGTTGGTATTAAAGGTACTGCGTGCAGTGGTTTGAATCATATCTATCTAGTATAGACTCCAATTTGTTCATGTAAATGGAGAGTGGAGAGTCTTCACACACTAAGGTTAATTAGGGAGTTCCACAGGGTTCCGTGCTAAGACCAATTCTGTTTACATCATTCATGCTTCCTTTAGGCAGCTACAGTACTGACAGAGGACTAGAAAGAGAGAGCATGTTTCTCTGGCTTACTTGTGCTTCAAGATTAGGCCTAAAACTTTCCTTTTTTCTAAAGCATATAGTTAAGGCTGGATCAGGTGACACTGAATCCTCCCTTAATTACACTGCAATAGGTCTAGGCTGCTGGGGTATTCCCATGATGCATTGAGTATTTCATCTTTAGTCAGCTTTTTCACCCACTATGTGTTTATACACTTCTCTTCATTTGAGAATAGCTGTTATTAATCTCTAGCTCTCTTCCACAGCATGTTTTTTTTCCTGTTTTGCTCCTCTTACCTCAACCGATCGCGGCAGACGACCGCCCCTCCTTGAACCTGGTTCTGCTGGAGGTTTCTTCCTGTTAAAAGGGAGTTTTTCCTTCCCACTGTCGCCAAAGTGCTTGCTAATAGGGGTAACATAATTGTTCTGGTTTTCTCTGTTTTCTTTGTATTATTGTAGGTTCTACCTTACAATATAAAGCACCTTGATGCAACTGTTGTTGTGATTTGGCGCTGTGTAACTTAAATGAAATTGAAAAATCGAATTGAACATTCTGGTTACTCTGCATTTTGTTTCAGTTTAATTTGTGAAATGGCAAATACCCTATTATTGTAAATACTGTGAATCATTTCATCCTAATAGAGTATTCATCATGTGCATTATGAAGCCACACTTCATGGCTTAGGAATCTTCAGGGCTACTATGATTTCATATTTCTCCACTGTGAATAATCAGGCCTTGAAGAGAGAGGAAAATTGTTCAGGTGAGGTATGCATACATGCTCTTTCTAGCCCTTCCTTTCCTTAACTGAGGAAATTGCCTGTTAAATGTTATATTGTGGGGCAAAAAGAGCACAGCTTGCTTTATAGGTATGTAGCAGCTAATTGAGATTCAAATCTCGTCCCTGTTCAACACTAAAGTGTCAGATTGGAGGACACTTTTTTAAGCTTGTGTTTCTATACATCCATGTGTATTCACATGGATGCACATGTGTCCATGCTATGGTTAGCTTCAGGGTGGTATTATTTCCTCTTATTCTCCCTGTCTGTGTCTCTGTACTTGCTTGTGTGATTTGTGTGGTGGGAGCCAAGCCCATCCAATGGAAATGACAGGTTGAGGATATTGACTTTGATGGTCCTTTTTGCTACAAGCGATTTTTTCATGCTTTTGTAGAGCTTTGACTTGTACACAAAAAAACACCTATCAAGGGACAAATACTGACCATGTGAAACATTTAAATGAGGCTTTCTTCCTTTTTTCTGTTTGTGGATGGGTCGAACTGTAAAAAGCAAAGCTTGGGGGAATTAAACAAACATAAAGTGGAGTTGCTTAGTGGAAAAAAAAGATTGTTGAGTCTCAAAAGGAAGAAAGTGACAAGTTTTTAGTAGCCTGGGTCCACGGATCCTTTCGTCAGTCGTGCACTTTGATAGCTCATGTCATGTTTCCTATCCTCTAAAGATGTGCAAATACATACTCTCATCCGCTGATAAAATATATAATATCGAACGAAGTCTAGTTGAGCCCTGTTTTACTTTAATTGTAGAATGAACTTTACATTTATCTCAAAGACCAGTGACATAGTAATTGCTTCATCCAGATCTCCTTTGTGTGGGACTACATTTTGAAATTAAATTTGGCCCGCTTGGTTGAGGGCATACCACATTTGATTACAACGACTCTCTGAGGAACATAATGACCAACTGAACTTGTCTTTGTCAGAGAAAGAATCAGGAGATGAGTGGGAGGGAAGGCAAGGCAGGATGGAGAAATGGAGTGCTTTTTTCCCCCTACCAGACTGAAAGACTGACAGTGAAGAAGAGGAAAATGAGGGAGTAAATAGGTCTGATTATCAAGGTGGCCTAATGGTGCTGACTGTCCCCATTTGACAGACTAATAGTACACTTGACAGATAGATGTAGAAGAAGCAATGCCCAGGCCTATTGTTGAAGTCTGCTGCAGTAATGAGGTGTCTGCTAGTAATCTGCCAAGCCTATGTCCAGCTCTATATGGCCCCTTTGTAGACAGGTAATTGCACTGTTCCTGACTTCAATGGGGGGTTTTCGAGGTCAATAACGATGTAGAAGTATCCAGAAGGGATAAATGTTAATGCGCTCAAAAAAAGAAGAAAAAACACCCAACAACAACAACAAAGACATCCTTAAGATATAAGGTTCTAGATTCCCAAAGACTCTTCAGTGCAGCAGTGAAGCACATTTATACTTTCAGAAACATTGAATACTTGCATCATCTTATACATTCACTGAACAAATTCAGTGTAAAGTAAAGCACGATGGTCTGCGTAATTTAAATGTTGCCATCAAAGTGTGTCCACAAGTCCCCTGCAGACTTCCATGCATCCATGAAAAAGTCTGTTGTTTCCAGCATCTCTACAATCAATTTAAAATATATGAAGTATAAAGTCAATCAAATGTGCAACAGTTTCTGTTGGCAAATTTCCCAGCTTATGCGAAGGGAAAAGTAACTCCATCTGATGACGATCTCTAAATGAAATAGAAAATAACACCTAAACCTTATTTGTGTGCACAGCTGTTTATTCGTGGAGGGAGTGTGACTGAGTATTGTAACAAGCATTTGTATCCTGTACATCTTAGCCTCGAGGAACATATAAAATCAGTTGTTGACCAGTTTATTTCAAGTTGGTATTTTTCTGTTTTATTGTGGTTGTTGTGGTTATGTGACTGCGCAAACTATGCGTTGACTTTCTGGAAACTAAGCAGCTAAATCTTCTATGAGTTAGGTAGCGAGTCACTTTGGCTTGAAGGTTGGCCATATTTATTTGAACCAGAGTGCACAGATGAGGATGTGGAAATTTGCCTCAGCAGATTCTAGAGTCTTGATCGATGAGAGTATTCCCAGTTGTATGAATTTGTGGTTTTGCTAAACATTATCCATAAAGTAAAAGCTATTAGAACAAATAAAAAGCAAGATGTTTATACTGATCAATGGACAAATCACCCTGCACTGGGTAGGCCAGAAGAGATCTGGCATAGAGATCCATAATGCAGTTAGCAGTTTTCATCAGTAAGGTATTTTTGACTGATCTCTTATTTTCCAAAGGGGTCACCACAACAGATTTTACACCAGAAGCCCAGCGTGATGCAACCCTTCCAGTTATTTGGGTACTGGGACCTGATAGGGACTAGACTAGGAGTGGACTAGATGTCACAAGTTCCCTGAATATAACCAGTGATCTTTCACATGTAAGGCTTGCATGTTTTGCTACAGGTGGCTAATTTCCATGTTTGCCATGGAAATGTACATATTGCTTACTTATTTATACAATCCATAGTTGTCGTGAGGTCTTGCGGATTGAATTTAACACTAAAGGATCAACTTTTTGAAGACCATCTTAAACTATAGCCTTTATATCCATATACAGCATTGCACCTTAACATGACTCCAAAGCGTACGGCCAGTGATATAGTTTCAGGTCACGGAAAAGCAATAAAAAGACAGTTTTATCAGTTTCACACTCAATTTCAGTTCAGGCATTGATAGCAAAAATTTACATTTCCCTGATTCTAAACTACAAATAACACCATAAAATATATAATTTAGAAGATAAGTAGAGCCTACCTGTGAAATATAGGCTGTTTGTCAAGGGCAGTGTTACATTATTGCCTTTCTGGTCTGATAACAACCTGTGAGGGGATATGCGTTCAAATGATCATGATAAAAGTTTGCACTTGTGTTGGTGAAGTCTTTGCATTTTCATTTCGACTTGGGTTCACCATAAATACTCGTGTGATTGCGGTAAACCAAGGGTATCCAGAAAACAGTATGCATCAGTATTTAGATGGCTGTAGCATGAACTGGCTATGAAAAGACAAGGTTGAGGGGAGCAAGGGGAGACTGTGGAGGAGTAGAAGAAAAGGAGAGGATAGTGGGGGAGGGGGGTAAGGGGATTTAGTGTGAATCACCAAAGAGGCCATTTAACTGCCCTCGATCCCAGCGTGTGTCTGGGAGGAAGGGCTGATCAATAGTGTGATTTAGGAGTTCATTCACAGCCTTTGCTCTCCAGGAAACAAACACGCACACACACACACACACATATAATGATAAAGACACACAGGTTATATACTGCCCCCGTTAAGACCATCATTCAAGCCTGGCCTGAATTTAGTCATATTTATCTATCTTGGCCACTGGATAATAGCTTTTACTGTATGTTGTTTAATTTAAAGATTAAGAAACACTCTTTTGGATTTAGTTAAATACAATATGGCCACAGAGTTAAATATATATATGGGCACACCATTGGCAGTAAAACCATAAACGTGTGGTGAATACTACACTGTGCTAGCCGTGTTCCCTCATTTATTCCATCCTGGGCAGTTAACTTGTACAAAGTGCTGCTAGCAAAGTGTTTTTGTTGGGTTTTTTTATCCCAACCTTTTCAAATGTGGTAACTCTGTTCCCTGAATTGTTATGTGGGGCTTTAGTGAACACTTCATGAAATAAATATCCAAAAGCCTCTTGACTGGTGCTGTTTTATGGAGCTAATACCCAACATTTCTCTGATCTTACTAGCACAGCCTTCTTGACCTAGATTATGTGCCAACAATCCCTCAGAC